AGGTGGGGTATTGTTACCAGAAGGAAAGCATGGGCAGGCAGAATGTAGAGGAACATAGACACAGAGAGAAGACATCGTCTCCAGGACTCATCAATCCTGACTCTGTGTCCTGTGGCTTTTCTCCCTTGCTTCTGATACTCCTCCTTCATCCTGTTCTACCCTGAACTCATTGCCACATGACACATGCAGGGAAGAGTTGGGGAAGGGGGTACCAATGTACCTTGGAGTCAGAGTTCAAATGATCACCCTTTGTTTATGGAAGGCTTTTAACTCATTATCTGTCTTTATCTTCATAGAATCTTTTTAAACTGGACTTACTTGGAAACCCAAAAGAGGTAAGGATCTTCTGCCTCCCACTTGGATTACAAACGTTTAGTCTTAACAACGTTCAGCTCCCACTAAGAATGAATGTAAAATCTCCACTGTGGTATAATAATCATTTTTTGTGTGCCCTTGAGAGGGGAAGGTTCTTGCAATATTAACAAAGACAGAAAGACCAGAGATGTGGCTAGCCTGACTCGTGTAGTACAGGGCTTCTGGTCAGGAACTGTGTGTCTTCTGGGCTCACCCCTCACTTCTTGTTTACATCCCCTCCACCCATAATGGCCTGTGGGAGGATGCTGTAATGGAACCTTCTACTGTCAAATGCCTGAGGAAGGATCTGAAAAGCCTTTACTAAGGGGCAGAGTTCTGACAGGACACAGGGGTGGTGAATGATATAAAGAGCATATGAAAGCCAAAGAAGTCAGATTTCTCCTTCTACCCAGTAAACACCAGCAGTGTGCAAAATCTCCAGCCCTTTGTCTCTCAGCAGTGGTTTCCACTTTAGCTGTGCAGCTCTACAGTCCCATCTAGAGCTCACCCTGTCACTCCCCTGAAAATGAAATGAGAGTAAGCTAACCATCAATGTTTCATCAATTGGCAAGAGGTGATTTAGCAACTGGGATACAGCAGTGACCCAGATGGTACTCTGTGTCTTTTGGGAGGCTTCCATTCTGGAGCTGAGGGAGCATAACAGCAGACAAATATGTGGTGTATGTGATGGTAGTGATAAAACAGAAGATAAATTAGGAGATGGGGACAGAGCTGGCAAGTAGTTTGATATACCCAGAAAAGAGATGGCTTGACTAGGAAGAAAGCCAGATGATGGGAAATTTGGAGATAATATTACAGGCAGAGGAGGGAAGAGCTGCAAAAGTCTGCTGCAGGAAGCCAGTATGCTGGGAGGGGAGATGGTGAGGAAAGCTTGGGCTTCTGGTTCAGGAGGTGAGGTAAGTGTGGTAGCATTTGAAAGGCTTGTATTTTGATTCAGCAAGAGAGAGCTTGTCAGCGAATTTCAAATGAGATCTTGGATATTTATGCTATCTTGGTTTTATTTGTTTTGATTTGAGATATGATCTTACTACAAAATCTAGGCTGTTATTGAAGTTATGATCTTCCTGTCTCTGCTTTTCAATTTTCTGTGAATGGAATCATAGGGCATCATATCTAGCTATGAAGTCCATTTAGACAGCATTGTAGAAATTTACTGTATAAGCCAGGGGCAGGACAGGTTCAGGAAGACCAGGTAGGAATAATTTATATTACAGCGGAGTAGTGAGATGTGATTGGAGTCAGGATATTTTTTTTTAAGGAATTTCTGAGATGTCTTGCTGACCGTCATGTCATGATGAAGAGGAGGAAGGACACCATTGGCATAAGTCAAGCACTTGACCTCACAGAGTAGCTTTGGTTATTCATGGCTGGTATTAGCAATTACTGTGTGCCTTGTAGTAACTAATATCAGTCTTCCTTGCATTTGCTGCTCCATGTGGTCCTTCGCTGTCTGGATTTTACTGTATTCCTACCTCCATGTTCTTCATTCATGTCCATTTCTCATAAGGTTAACAGACCTGTTTGTGGAAAAACATATTATAACATGTCATTTTCCTTCTGATGACAAAGTCTTGACTTTGTTTGAAGACCCAGAAGTGTTAAGGAACTTTGCTTTCTGGGTTACAGGTATTGAGAAAAAGAAACACCTTTCCTTCATGAGACTAGTACTTGAACACATCTCTGAGTACCAGAGATAGGCCATATATTGCAGAGCAAGGGTGTTCTGCCTTCTGATTCTCTCTGTAATCCTGTGGAGGGGAAGCCTCCAAGTCTAGGCCCTTTTGACTGTCCTGAGTGAGTTCAGCACACTGACTCTGCTCCCTTGACTTGTGCCTTTAGACTTGTGTGGAAATTCTTGCCCTTTCCCTTATTTGTATAGAGTGTCCTTGCCCAGATCCTGCTCAGATGGCAAAACAACATGTTCCTTGTGGATCTAGTAAATTTTTTCTTCAGATGAACAGTTCTCCAAGGAGATGTCCTGCACTGTCCAACTTTTCTAAGTCAGTAGCAACTATGCCCACGGCATATTCTATTTTGTCAGCCTACTTGATTATGGCTGATGCTTGTATTGTTTTTTTGTTGTTGTTGTTGTTTTTGTTTTACAGTGAATGAAGTCTCAGTTTAGACATTTGGAGAAGAGAGCTCAGGACTCTAACACCTAACATTGTGTCACAAAGCACTCAGGTTTAGAGATAAACACATTCAGTCTGCCTTCATTACTCATCAAGTCTGTATTTGTGAAGTCACTTGCCAAAATGTACATGCAATCTCAATTCAACACTTACGACACAGTCAGAGTCTTTTGCACCATATGCACTGGGTAGTAAGAAGCTCAAGTCATGTCATGCCCAAGCTCCTGTAAGAAGTCAAAAAGGAAATACTGTATCTTCTTGATTTCTTTCTTGTATTCAGAAATAGCCTCTTCATGCTCTACTTTCTTCTCTCCTTTTCTTTGTCATTTCCCCCTTTCTCTCTGTTCCTATCTTTATCACCCACATGATCACTCTTCAGAATGATGCCCTCCCTCTGCCTCCTGACAGCATTGTATCTTGACAACTAGTTATTGTTCCAAGTAGTTTCTCTTTTTAAGATGTTCTCAAACATAGTGATGAACAGCTTCCTCCCCCAACATGGCTGAATGTGAGACACATTACAGTGGAAATATGTAGGAGTGAGCTTTCTTAAGCTCTGATGCTTTTGGTCTTGGAGTTCAGTGTTGATGAAGCAACATCACAGGGCATCGAAAAGAGAACAGAGACTTGCAATCAGGTGGCAGAGGGAAGGCATCATTTTGAAAAGTGATCATGTAGGTGATAAAGATTGGAAGGGAGAGGAAAGGGGGAAATGAAAAAGAAAAAGAGAAAAGAAAGCAGGATTGTGAAACACAAACCAATGAAATTTATATTCACTTAAACTATGATTAGAGACATTTTATGCCTTTCGAGAACCATCCTTTGTTATACATTAACTTGATTTTAAACTAATAATTTGTAAGAGGTGTGTGTTATGTAAGGTGTCACTAAATAGAAACTAACTCCTAAAGAAAAATGATGAAAATTGTGTGTCAAGAAACTCCCAGGAAGTAACTCTTAACTCTCCTTGGAGAAATTGCATAGCATTTGCTAAATCAACATTTTCAGTAAGCTTACAGACTTATGTACAATAACCCAATTAACCCTACCTAACATACTAGCCCATATTAACATATATCTGGATATTTTTAATTCAATATGTAGTCTAAACTTTGAAACACATTTTTCTAAGGTATATATTTTTCTTAGGACAGAAGTTGACCTCTTGACCTCCCTACCACCATCATCCTGGCAGCACTGACCACGTAAAGAGTCCTAGACTTCATCCTTCTTAAGACACTGAGTTTTTGTGGCCATAGCCACTGGGGTTTTTGAGCTGACTAAGCTCTCAAATATCCAAAGAAAGCACAGATTTAATAGACAGCTCAATATTAAATAGAGGTTAAATTTCTTTCTTCCCTAGAGCTATCCCTTCCTCCCTGCTGTGATTGATGGAGTGGTGCTGCCAAAGGCACCAGAAGAGATCCTGGCTGAGAAGAATTTCAACACTGTCCCCTATATAGTTGGCATCAACAAGCAAGAGTTTGGCTGGATTATTCCAACGGTGAGAATATACAGACTTCTTAATCAACCATCATCCTCCCTGCTCTAATCACATGTTATGTACCCAGATGACTATAATTCAAAGAGGCTTAAAACTTTCCAAGTAAATTTATTTTGAGACTCCTTGATGAAGTCATTTGAAGTGCTCATTTATATCTGGGCCAGAGATGGAATTAATAGTTGAAATCTTTCTAAAGTAACTACTCTAGTGGCTCAGGACCATGGCTGCCTACCACCAAGCTTTCTATTGGCAATGCTGAGCTCTCTCAAGCAGGAATTTTAGGGTCCTGGTATTATCCTGGGGTGTGGATTCTGTGTTAGAAGGTATGCTGAAACCAGAACAGATCTCCGAGTGCTGACATGGGCAGGCTTAGCACCTCCCCAGCGTTTTGCAGCAGTGTGCACCCCCTTTTTCCCTGGAGGCTGTTAACTACCAGCCTGTTGGGAGAAAGGGGGCAGAGGTGAGAGCAAGGTTCAAATGGCCACAAATATTAATGGAAGGACCTCTAGAGGCCACTGCTGTGATGAGTCTACTTTATTGTTTCAGAGATAGGGTAGGGTATATAAGGGCTTTTTAAGGTTATGACTGGAAAGGTCTAATTGGCCATGACATCAAGTGAGCTGAAAGAGCTGATTGCTTATAGTACATCATCTAATTATCATGCAGGCTGGGAGCCAGAGTGGTACATGTCTACTGAGTTCCGCAGCCTTGTACAAGAGAATTCTGTACAAGATCACTTTTCAGACAAGGCCAGCCAAGGCCAGCCACCTGTGTCCAGGGACACTGTCCAGACAAAAACAAAAAGAGGCAGGAAAATGAGAAATGGAGTCCCCCACTTCACACCAACCTCAGAAAGTCATGTAATCATGGGGAAGTAGGGAACTGCTACCTTAATAGCAAGGTTCTCCAACACAGGAGGACCTGGGGTGGGAATCATATGAACATAGACACACAAACATAATATTTGGTTTCATTTCCTCTTTTCTCCTGAGTCTGAGGGTGTCAGGGGTGTGGGTTGTGTCCTCTGTCTCTGATCCTTTAGCTTCTATGTGATCCTGGCCTGAATGTTTGCCTCCGATCTTGAGGAACATTGTAGCTTCTGATGTGATCAATACTTTTATTAAGTGCCCTCTCTGTATTAGTTGTAATCATTTATATATGTGCATTGCTTTTGTTAACGTTTTTCTCAAAAACGTAAACTCCCATGCCTGTCAAGACCCCCCAATTCCACCTCATTCCACTTTGGTTTTTGCTTGATTGGTCTTTTGACTCTTCATACTTCTCCATAATTCACAAAGCTAATCATTTGTTTAACAGTTTATGGGCTATCCACTCGCTGAAGGCAAAATGGACCAGAAGACAGCCAATTCCCTCTTGTGGAAGTCCTACCCAACACTTGTAAGACTCTGGGGAGTTGTGGGAATTGGTTAAGAAGGAAAGAAGGTTGGTGGTGTTCTCTAATCACAGACCAGTTTGATGGTGGAAAACCTATGCTTAAGCTTCTGCATTTTTCATTTACCCATTTAACCACCCAGGTGCATAGGAACGCATATTTGTGACTCCCATGTCAAAACTTCGTTGAGTTCAGGATACGTTTTAGAGGAAAAGATTTATTTTTAAAGTTAGCCAAACCAAGACCATGGAGGCTATCACAAACAAGCATCTAGGCACTGGATGCTCAAGACTTCCTTATGGAGTTATTTGGATGCAAATCAGATACCTGGATACTTATAAATTTTACATTTGTTTTTATGATATATGGCTTCTATAATCTATAGGTTAATAGATATTATAAGCTTTGTAAATTTAAAGAAAAATTACAAAGTAGCAAATCATATGACCCATGTATTCCTTGTTTTCATTTTCCAAGAAAAGTTAATTCTGAACTTTATGATGTGGCTATAAATTATGTGTTTTCCCCAGAGAACATTGGAAAATAGCAATAAATTACTTTTCTCAAGAGGACCAGGGGTGAGATTTAAAAAAAAAAAGCAAATATTTCAAGTCATGTTTTTCTATAGGAACTGAAGAACAGTATTTTAATATATGAGGTCTCTTCAGGCATGGTGATTCCACCAAAGCAAGTGACATAACAATAGTACACAGAGTAGATACCTGAACGCAAATAGTGATTATTGAACATCAACATTAAGAGAAAGTGAAGCCAAAGAGTTTAAGAGTTTATTCCAGTCTTCCATGGGCAACGGGGAGGATTTGGTAAGCAGTGAGGTAGTTTAGCATTGATGAATCCTTCTTAACTGGCTGCAGAAGCCCCATCCCTCACCCAGCTAGTCACTTTCTGATACATTTCAGAAAATCTCTGAGAATATGATTCCAGTGGCCTCTGAAAAATATTTAGGAGGGACAGATGATCCTGCCAAAAAGAAAGACCTGTTCCAGGACTTGATTGCAGATGTGGTAATTGGTGTCCCATCAGTGATGGTGTCTCGAAGCCACAGAGGTGAGTTTCAGGTGTCAGATGGGAGATGAATACAATTTCAACTTCAAGGTTTCTGACCCCTACCTCTTGGCATAGGTAGATATGAAAGATATTGAGATCAGGTCTCAAAAGTTGATTCCATATAGCCAGCAGTGCTGTTCTGCCTTTCCTGCTAGGAAAGATCTAGCATGAGGAAAAGGTCCACATGCAGCTTAGTTTAGCAGATACTGCCAGAAAACACCATTGGGAGATAAGATGATGTAGAGAAAATACAGACCTTAATCTGGAGAGCAGCCCCGCATGTTTCCATCTTACCTGACAATGGGGAGCTCTAGAGCACAAGGAGAAGGAGTACCTTAGGCTCCTTTTCTGGAAAGGCAAAACAGGTGTGTGTTTACCCACCAGGAGCCATTTCTCACAGGTGCCATGATGTGCTTATCTAGGTCAAAAGACAAGGAGTTGCTTCTCTCCTTCCATCTTTGCCTGGGCTCTGGAGGTTGAGCTAAGGTCATCTCATCTGTGCTTCGGGCATCATTACCTGCTGAGCTCTCTTGACATTCCCTCTCTGATTTTTACTGTAGGGACTCAGATCTAAAGAACTTTGCTCTTAGGGCTGTCTTTACTTTATCAAGAAGGCTTTGGTGTATTGTGGTCTCATTCTATTTAGTTCTAGGAATTATTTTTTTTAACTGCTTGACTTCTTCTATGATGCATTCGTCATTGAATAGTATGTTACTTACTCTCTATGAGTTTGAGCATTCTCTATTGTTTTTCTTGCTGTTGATTCCTAGTTTATTCCATTGTCAGAAGAAATACAAGAAGCTTTTGGATTTCGTATGAGAATACTTGACTTTTGTCCCAAACCATAAATTACTTTAGGAAAGTTCCATGAGAGTGTTTTTTCCTGAAGTGTTTGGGTGGGTCACCTCTAGGTGTCTGATCTATTAATGATGTCATTTGACTGTAAGGCATCTCTGTTTCATTTTCTTTCATCTAGATGACTTGTCCTTGGGTCAGAATGAGGTATTGTTGTTACCTGCTGTGTTAAGATTAATAGGTATTTTATACCTAACAGAATTTGTTTTAGAAATTGGCTACACTTTTTTTGGCACAATGTTTAGAATTGAAATGTCCTCTTGGTACATTGTTCCCTTGATCAGTATGAAGTGATTGATCTTCTTTGTCTCCTCTGACTTCTTTTGGTTTGAAGTCTATTTTGTCTAAAATCAGAATATCTAGACCTTTTGTTTTCCTGGTTTCAGTCACTTAAAACATTTTTCTCCCTACCCTTTTACCCCGAAGTAGTGTCTCTGTTGATAGGAGGTGTGTTTTCCTGGAGGCAGCAAAAAAGACAGAGCCTGTCTTCTTACACCAACTGCTATTTATATATTTTTATTTGGATAATAAAGAGCTTTGATGTTATTTTCAAAGGTGTATTGTATATTGATGCCTCTCCTTGCTCGTTTTGTGGTGGTGTTTTGCTTTCTGTGTACTGACTACACTAATATCATTTTTTGGTCCAGTGGTCTCTTCAAGGAGTTCATCCTTCTCTTTAGTCTGAAGTACTCCTGAATGTACCCTTTGAAGAGGTATTTCAGAGCTTATTAATTTCATTAGCCTGCTCCTGGAATGGAAAGTTTTAGGTTTCCCTTCAGCTACAACAGATAGTTTATTGAGTTTGCAGCTGTTTTCTTTCAGAACTCAATATCAATCTTTTTTATCTTTCCTGAATTGAACAGATTCTGTCAAATAATCAGGTATAAATCCAAATGGCCTTTCTTTATATGATTCAACATTCTCTCTTAAATTGTGTTGAGGGAAGCAATTAAAAACAGCCACTGGTCAAGTCTTAACTGTGGTGGCTCTGCCTGGCTCAGCTGCCATGTGCCATGTGCCATGTGCCGTGTCCAGAGGATAAGTGCACACCACAGCTAGAAATGGTCAGCCAGAAACACCAGGCCTGCCACTCTTGAGATGCCAGTGTAGGAGATGGCTCTGCCAATATCCCACGCAGTCTCCGCAAGGATGGGCATTACCCAGACCATTTGGTCAACCATGCGAGCTAGGTACAAAAAGACTCTAATGCTTAGATTATCCAAAGGCTTTATATACTGATAATGATCAATAAAAAGGTATCCATATAATCAGAGACATAATTCAATACTGAATCTAGATATACCAACTACCTTTGACTCCCAGGTACACGTGAACATCTGCCTCCATGTTACCCTCTCTCTTGTACTGTTCCTCTCTGAGCTCCTCCTCTTCCTTCTCCTCTTCCCCTCCCTACTCCTCCTCTTCCTCTCCTTACTCCTCCCACCTTAAATCTTCCTACAACATTGTTCAATGTAATTTTCTGTTCTGTTTTTTTTCAGCACTTCAATTATGATATGACAGAAAAAGTTCTTTTATTTTCTCCTATTTGGTATATCCTTATTTTGGATTCGGTGAGACTCTTGTATGCTAATAGGCATCTCTTTAGATTTGGGGGTACTTTACTCCTATGTGATTTTTGAAAATACTTTCTGTGCTTTGTGCTTGGAAATCTCCTTATATGCTCATTATTTACATGTCTGGTCTTCTCTTGCAGCCTTAAAGCTCTCTGGGTCTCCATCTCTCCATGCTTTGGGTCTGTTTATGGGTTTTTAAAAAAATGGTATCATTAAAGTTAACTGACTGCTCTGATTCCTCTAGGTTTTCTTCAAGTCCTGATACTTTGTCCTCCTCATGATCTGTTTTATTAATGTGGCTTTTCACTGAGCTTTAACTTGTTGCAATGAATTACCATTTCCAATATCACTTTAGCCTACCTATTGGAAACCACTATACCTGGTATTTGTATCTCCATTTGGATTCAGAGGATGTAAACGGGTACTAGTTGGAGAAAGGTGTGTCTTGTAGATTGTGTAATGGGATGCCATTATTAATTAGTAAAACAAAGAAAGAGTCATGAATAAGATAAGATAGTAAACATAGGTCAGTAGAATGTATATAGGATAGAAATATGCTAGGTAGAAGGAAGACTGTAGTGGGTAAGGAAGTAAAGAGTAGAAGGTTTTTGGGGGTACAGAAAATTGAGGGGCAGCCTCAGAAGGTCTATTCTGGTAAGGTAGAAGGTACAATATAGTGTACCTTCTGAATGTATGTAAAATAAATGTAAGAGATTGCAAATAATTATATGAAAGAACAATTATAAAGAGAACTAACCTTTTTGAAATGTTACTAAAAATAAAATAAAACAAAGCAAAACTAACAATAAGTAAGTCAGGTAAAAGAATTATACCTAAAACAAGTGTATGTGTATACACACTCATGCACATAATCTGGAGAATATTAATATTGGTCTTGACACCAAGCAGGTGTGTAGTGGACATTGTGAACTCTGCATGAATCCATGTCTCCACAGATGCTGGAGCCTCCACCTACATGTATGAATTTGAGTATCGCCCAAGCTTTGTATCAGCCATGAGACCCAAGGAAGTGTTAGGAGACCATGGTGATGAAATCTTCTCAGTATTTGGAACTCCATTTTTAAAAGGTAATGTTTCTTTGCTGCCCCTGGCCTGGGCATTAGGAGGCCTGAATTTGTGTCCTGGACAAACCCTTGTCCTAGTTTCTCTATTTCTCCAGTTAGCTTTCCTGCCACCCTGTAGCTGGGTTGAAATATGCTAGGAGTAAGCCTTGATCATTCACACACATGAAGGAAGCTTTTGTTCGTTCATGTGTCCCCAGCCATATTTACTCTCAGAATCATGACCCATAATGCCAGTAATAGAGAAGACAGGCAAGCCACAAGCTTCATATTGAGGGAAGGGTGTGACTTATGGACTTTTCTCCCATAATAGCTGCTGGGATATGAGTGAGGACACAGTTAATTTCTAACCCTGAACAAGGGCTATCATATTTTACCCATCTGTCTATCAATATATCTGGGTCATATGTTTGCTGTCTTTTTTAATGTGATACTTAAGGGAAGATTTCACAGCTGTCTTCAATGCATTGCTTTTCAGTAGTTATATGTAAATAGCAATTCAACTCATGTTTCTGTGAGCCTCTCCCTGTTTTTGGGTGTCTTAGGAATTTTGGAGAAAAAGATTAAGAGAAGACCCAAGAGCAACCCTACAAAGACTGAGGAAACTTCAATTGTGGTTTTGGGTCATGGGTGACAAAGGAAGCCAGTAAGTAGGAACCTATTCTTAATGTGAAGTTTAGACTATCAACCAGCATGTTCTTAGAAGGTAGGTTTTAACATAGTAAGATGGGAAATAGATCAAGACTCTGATCTTCTAACAAGGTCCGAAGATGATGACAATGACCAGAATCCCTCCTGCTATGTGACTGCTGAACAAACAAACAAACAAACAAACAAGAAAGCCACTTGGTAAGTAGCTGAAGCTTACTTACTCCTTCTTCCCAACAGATGGCGCCTCAGAAGAGGAGACCAACCTCAGCAAGATGGTGATGAAATTCTGGGCCAACTTTGCTCGGAATGGGTAAGTCTTGTAACAAAGAAGGGACAGATCTGGGGGTGTGGTGTTTTCAAGCTTGTTGGAGAGGGGTGTTTTCTAATGTTTGAATGGCCAACCACCTGTTTCCGTGACCATACCACTCCAATGAAGGCTACAATAATCATATTTGGAGGTATGGTGAGCTTTTTAGATAGTGAAGGGATGTAAATTTTGGCTTATAGATCCAGAGGCTTCAATTCTCTTTCATTTGACCTATTTGCTCAGGTTTTTGTCAGTATAGAACATGGTGGTTTAGTGAAATGCCTAGATCTCTTTGTCTCTCCATCTCACTGGCAGGCAGTAGAGATAGAAAAAAAAAAGTTGAGGGTCCCAAAATACTCATCAGGGTCATGTCCCTTAGGATCAGCTACTTTCAACTAAGCCTACCTCTTAGAGTTCCCACCATATCCCAGGAGCACATTCAGCTGACAATCAAGTATAAGAGGGCTAATATTAATCCCCGAGGCTCCATGTCTGGCATCCAGACATCTTTTGGTTGGTGTGAGTTCTGAAAGGATTAGGAAGCCCTTCCCCCAAAGTGTTTGTCTCCCACAGCCTTTCTTGGGTTGGTTGTGCTCATGGCCTGATCAAACCCTAGGTAGAAGGTTCAAGTCCTGGCCCTCCTAACTCACTATACTCTGTATACTGAGTCACATCAACTTTACTCTCATAACTTTAAGCATCATGCTTTTAAAATGCTGTTAGCAGGGACTGCAAACCTTCTACACACTTGATGGCCCCAGCTCTTTCCTTTGCAATCTATGCAGAAGCCTTGATGACCTCATTGATCTTGCATTCTGCATGCTGTCAAAACCACATCCATGTGGATATCACCAAGGTTTACCTACATTGTCAGATATCCCCAGATTCTATGGGACATCCTCTTGAACAGTCATTGCGTGTCCAAACATGAAGGGAAAAAAATCAGAGAATTAATTCTCCAGGCTACCCTGAGGACAGAGACTTCTAGTGGAACATTCTCAGAAAAGCATCTTTGGAAGAAGTTCATACCGTTACATTGTATGTCTATGATAGCTGTGGTCTGAAAGTAGAGAAACAGCTCCAGGTATAAATAACAAAGACAGGGCCAACTCCTGAGAAGTCCCTGGCCAGCTTTCATTTTCATCCTGGTGCATGCAACTCTGGCTTCTCTTAATGAGGCAATCTCCTTGACAATGGCACTCTGCTTCCACAAAGCCTTAATCAGAGTCCTTGGCTATGGTGGTAGGGGTGTTGAGAGGTTTGGTCTTTGAGGGTTTGCTTGGTTTTTGTTGTTATTGTTTGGCATGACTATGTTTTTTTAATCTTCATGTTGTTTGGTTTTCTTGTGAATCTCAATGGAAATATAACTAAGATCAGAACAAAACAAACCTCACTATACTATCTAGATGCTATTGTACTTTTGAACGTACTCCACCGTGAATACTCTACAAATTGAGGGGGGTCCTTAAACTCAGTACCCCATAATACAGCAGAATGGACAAAATAGACAAATCTATGTGAGAATGGAACATGAATGGCCTCTGATCCAGATGTCCTTCTCTTCTGAACCATCTTGAGCTTGACTTCTCTTCCTTTCTTCCCTATTAGAACCTCCAAGAATCCCCTATAAATCCCACTCACTTCATTATGCATTCTATACACTACACCCCAAACTTCCCAAACTCCTTCACAGACCAGTTAAAAAAAAAGGAAAGAAAAAAGAAAAAGAAAAAAAAAGTTCTCCAGAACCACATTGTGGGAAGGGAATTAATCTTACAGAGATCTACTTTTTAGGAGTATTTTTAGTACTATTCCTATGTGTTATCGTCTTTCAATTGCTGAGCCAAAATGTCCAAGGTTTATCAACTTAAAGGATGAAGGTTTAATTTTGGCTCTGACTTTCTCTTGAAATTTTCACTTTGACAAAGTGACAAAATGGACTGTAGTGGCTTTAGGTGAGAGCCGGATTTCTTGGCACTCAGGAGACTGACATTGTTTTATTGTTTTGATTTGTTTTTTGTTTCTTTGTGTGTGTGTGTGTGTGTGTGTGTGTGTGTGTGTGTGTGTGTGTGTGCAGTCTAGAAGCACTGAGATAAAGGACTTGGAGACCCAACATGGTGCAAAGCAGGCCTTCAGTGACCCACCCCTCCCAAGTAGGTGCCACCTCCTGATGCCTCCATTAGTCCTAACAGAAGGATTAGCTGAGCATCAGTTTCAACACAGGAGGATTTGGAGGAGAGCTAAGACCTAACTAACACAGGACTTTTTAAACATGAACAGACTGCCCTAGGAGGTAAAGAGTTGGCACAAATGGCACAGGTATCAAAGGTAGCTTCTTGGCAGAGATCCACCAAGGTTTACTTTTAAAAAATCTAAGCAGCATAGGTACAACACAGTTGCTTTGGTGAATTTCTTTTCCTTTCTTTTAATTCTGTTCACAGGAACCCTAATGGGGGAGGGCTGCCCCATTGGCCAGAATATGACCAGAAGGAAGGCTACCTGAAGATTGGTGCCTCAACTCAAGCAGCCCAGAGGCTAAAGGACAAAGAAGTGGCTTTTTGGGCTGAGCTCAGGGCCAAGGAGGCAGCAGAGAGGCCATCCAACAGAGAACATGTTGAACTCTGATCAGGAGGATCAGCTGTGTTTGAGAACCTGGAGCCCAAGAAGTATTAGTCCACAGAAGATTTTTTAGAGAAATAACACTTCTTATCTTTCAGGCTATAACCTTATATGGTATTATGTACAAATGTATTAAAGAGGAAATATTTATCCTCTTCAACTTGTAAAAATAAAACATTGTTTTGAAAATTAGAATTGGATCAATATCTGTCTTGGCAGGTTTTAGTTGTTTTTTAGTTTTTTGTTTGTTTGTTTGAGGATACAGAGAGTGGCTGGACTCACAAATGCTAGTCTAGTGACCATCTACGTGTCTTTGTCTTTTATAGGTTCCTGAGGAATCTTTTACAGATATTCTTAGCCTTTCAGATTAAAAGGCTGTTGTGCTCAGGAGACACCTTTTCACAGCAGATTTGAAGATGTCTCACTTTCTCTTTACAGGGAGATGGTCTCCTAAATATAATGAGAATCACCAGTGTTTTCTAAGTGCTAAAGGCAATGTGTGGCCTAAATAAGAATGCAGAATTGATTGAGAACCACAGACCCAAGAAGAAGCTTACTTCCTTCCCAGACTCCTCTGCAGATGTCTACCAGGTGTTTATGAATAAGTCTGAGGACATGTTGCAAGACTAGGATAAAATTTGCTTCTGGGATTCAGGCACAAAGCACACTACTATTCCCTTTCCATCAGGGAACCATACTCTGTCCATATGGGGGAATCTTCAGATACCAGATGAAGGCTTATTGCAGCCAAGGGAAAATGTTGTAAAGTTCTAAAACCTATTGCATGAACAGAACACATTACTGGACCTAAGTCATCAGAGAGCTTTTACTGCTGCTGAGAAACAGGGTCACTGATGAGACTTCATCTGAGACAACCAGGGTTCTAAGGTTAAGATAAGACAACAACTATATAATCCACTCCTTACCAGTGTTGAGTCAGTAGATGCTCTATAACAAGTAACAGAAGTCAGCTGGTGGGTGCACCAGAGTGGGATGACTCTCTGGAGATGAGAAAGCAAGGAAGAGCAGTACCAAAGGAGTGAGGCAGAATTATAGTGTGTTACTTCATTACAAATTTCATGTAACTTACACTGCAGTGTGAAGTTACAGTGTGATGGTTCAAAGGTGGGTACTGAAATCTCAAGTCAACCATTAACGATGTTTCAACCTTTGATCCTTGTCTTTCTGCATCTGCCTGATCTAACTTCATATGTTATTCCTTGGTTCCATTTATGTATCTTTTTGCAAAGCACATGATTTTATTCTCAAGCATGAGGAACAGTCTATATACACAACGTGTATACAGCCCACATTTTCATCATCCACTCTCATGGGTCCAGGTGAATAAGTGGGCAAATGGCTAAGGGATAAACACTCTCCTTTTGGGGAAATGAGAGCAGGGCATGTTGTGTGGCCTGAAAAAAATTTAGAGCTTCTAGGAGGCAAGAGAATGTCAGAATGACATCATTTGTAATTTTTTTCATTGATATCAAATCAGATTATGTATTAGTAGTTAATCTTTAATTGTGATATGAGTCTAAAAGGACAAGTGAGAAATGCTTCAAGTGACTCTTTTAGCTGAGTGACTAAAGGCCAGAATCTTGGTAGGATGGTGTTAGGACGGCTTCAAAAGAAGGAGCATCACCTCAGTACACCTTATGGATCTGCCACCACCAGCAAGTCCAACACTGCCAAGACTGTTGCCCATGCTGACCCCTCTGTGGCCGTTCCAAATGGACCAACAAGGATTCTCTCTTTAACAGCTTAGTGGACAACACAATTATCTGTAAGAAGAAGAAAAGATTGCATCCAAGGTGGTGGAGTCGTCCAAGGCCAACTGGGAGGATCCAGTGTCCACATGGACTGGAAATGAAAATCCTCCCAGCAGTTGACTCCCCACATATGGACATGTGCATGGTAACCATGGGAACACCACGTCCTTTTAGCAATGTCAGTCCCTGAAGGCCAAGATCGTTAGATTTCTGCTCACGGTTGGACTAGGCTCAGATTTTAGTAAAATTTCCAAATAAGAGATCAACAACCTTTTCAAATAACAAACAGTGATTCATGAATTTTGAGCTGCTAAAGGGCATGTCCAATTAATGCCCATCAACCCCCAGTTTTAAACATAAAAATCTAGGAAAGAGCTCTTGCTATTCCTTCCCACTCTGTGACTACTATCAAATTATTGTCAATATACAATTACCATCCTGATGTTCATACAGATTTGTAGACTCTTTGCAAAACTTTGATTCCACTATGAATATATGAACCAGGGCAGAAGTTGTTATAAGAAAAAAAAAACTACCTTGTGAAATTTGCCATGCTGTCTCCACTTGGTTCTGTATTAATGATTGTGATGATGAACAATAAAATTATTACAGGTACATATAGTCTCTTATAATTGCCTGCAGGAATGGTTGGAGGATGCTATCTTTGGAGGATTTGGGGAGTGGAGCCATGTAGATACTAGACCACCTAACCCGATTCTAATCACTCCCAATTCTTGATCACTTAATAACAACCTTAACTTTCTGGGAGAATTTTTTAAACTTTTAATATTACATTTTATTTATAATGATATTATAATTTATTTCCATGTGTATTATATTATTAATACATTGGTATTAATTAAAGTTAAGTAATATCAACTAATAATAATTGATATTAATGATTAATAACAATAAGTAATAGTTAATAGTGACATCAATGATGACTAATGTTTTTGTTAATATTAATTAATAATTAATGTTAATAATTACTGATGGTTAATAATTTATATATATTTATATAATATATTTATGTTCAAGTATGTTTCTCTGTGTGTCTATATGTCCTGTTTCTGCTGGTTCTGGATAAGGCCAAAAGAAAGTCATGGGAAGGAAATCTGGATCCTCTAGAAGAGAAGCCAGTCCTCTTGACCACTGAAGCATCTATCTACCCCTCCAAGGGGTTTAAATTTTCTGTTTGCACCCATGATTTAAGTAGCTGTGGGCGCCACCTGCTGCTACTTCAGTTTCCTCAGTTGTGGGTGAGACGACAAGGGGTGAACCTAGTACTATAATGAGGAGAGAGACAGAGAATGAGCCTATGTAGTAATATGATGGCTATTATCCAAATATCATAATAATAAAAATATGCCCCAGTGTCATCTCCTTCTCCATGTCCTACCTTTTTGTGTTTATAACCCCTGTGTGAATGAGTATAAATTACGGTTTGAAAAACATAAATAAATTCTTTTAATAAAATATTTAATAATGTAAATAATATAAATACTAAGTGATGTTGCAGTTTATGTGTCAATGAAAAACAATTACTGTAAATTTGCTACCACAGCAAATATTGTACTTAGTGAGAATGGCATTTCCTTCCATCCTTTTTACAAACTCTTTGTCAACAGTGTTTATCATATTGGAGAATGTAACTCAAAAACAAAACAGGAAGTGAGTGAGATGGCTCAGCAGATAGACGTTCTTGCTGCCAAGCCTGACGACCTGAGTACAGTCCCTGGGACTCACATGGTTGTCCTGTGACCACACATTCACTGTGATCTGCCAATCCCAATACAAAACACAAATAGACAACTTTAATTTTTAAAAAAAGGTCAAAGATGAGCAGAATGATTCTGACTTTATGACAGTCTACTCATTAGTGTCCTCCAGCCTCTGACCCTTTCTCCTTTGATGTTTTGAGCTCTTCCTTGTAGACTCCATGTACATGATGTGTGTATTTGTCTATCTAGATCTGACTCAGTCCACTTAGCATATAATTCTCCATCTTTATGTGCTTTGTCATAATGACTGTGCATCTTCCTTTTTAAGGGCATGCATTATTCCATCTACACTACCCCACAGTCTTTATACATTCATCTGTTAGTGGACACATAGTAACAGCATAACTTGACTTTGGTGAGCAGTATAATCATGGGTCAGACATATTTTCAATACAGTGGTTTCAAATCTTTGGGGTAAGCACCAGAACTGGGATTGATCTGTAATGTGACAATTCTATTTTTAACATGCTTCACACACTGTCCTTGTGTTTTCTAGCACACTCAGTGTATGAGGGAGTTTCCTTATTTCTTTATCCTTGCCGACACTACTTGTTATTACCAGCTTTTCAGTCTTGGAGAGATGCTAGCCCAGTGTGTTCCTAATTTGCATTATATAAATGATCATTGATATATGAACAATTTTTATTGATCTATTGCCCACTTTTACTTTTATCCCTCTTTCAATAAAATGTCTACTTAGGTCCTTATCATTTTCTTATCTCTGTGAGACAAAGTCTCTCTTTTTAGACAAGGCCAAGGCATCCTGCTGTCTTTGTGTCCCAAGTGTTAGATTATAGGTGCACCCCTCACCCCCCACCCTGCTCTGGATCCTTACCCAAGTAAATGGGTGGTTTGCTTGCTTTTTTTCTTGCTGTTGATTCTTTACATTCCTTATTTACTTTGTAAAGTGATTCTCTATAGCCTGTATCATTTGAAAATATGCCCCACCTTTCACACACACACACACACACACACACACACACACACACACACACATTCAATGCATGCAGTCATGCATGGACACAATGAGACATAGATAATTCATTATATTTCCCTCCTGTCAATAAGTTTTGCAGTGGAATGTTTATTTCATTTTACAGTTTTTGCCTGTGTGGTCTCCACTTTTGGGATCACACACAGAGATCCATGTTTTAGCCAAGGTCATATTGTTTTTCTTCCTCTATGTTTTCTTATAGCTGTTTTAGTTTCCCATTGGGAATTAGATTTACAAACCAATTTTCTATTTTTTTCTTTTTTAAATCACTTGAGATAAGTGTCCAGTCTAACTTATGCATGTGGCAATCCACTTTTTTGAACAGCGATTACTGAAGTGACTTTCTTTTTCTAATTGTGTGTTCTTTTCTCTTGGAATGTACAGCAACAATGGGGAATCCATGATACAGACTATGCTTATTCTAGGTGAAAGACACATCAAACACCAATTTTTCTCATGAAATGGAGAGTTGTATCCTTGGGTTCATGTTGTGCTCCATTTAGGATTCTACTGTTCAGTGTGTCTACCTTTTGTTTGTTGTTTTTAGTGGTGGTGGTGATGGTGGTGGTGGTGCAATTACTTTGTTATTCTAAGTACGTGAAGTTTAACACACATAAAAACACTAGATGAGACATTAAGCATTGT